TAAACTGCAAACTCGTTTTTATCTCCTGTATTTCTCTGGTCATGTCGTCAAGTCTCTTGTTGTTTGTCTCCATAATTAGTTGCACGAAGCCTTTGAAGTTTTCCTGCTGTTGGTTCATCAGCACGATGTACATCTGTTTCTGCTGATCCACAATGTCCATTACTTGCGCCGCTCTGTGATACACTTCTTCTGCCTCCATATCCTCATTCGCTTCTGATTTATTAGCTCTTTTCCCTCTTGAAGGCATTTTAATAGTTATAGAATTTGTTCAAAGACTTGAAAGTGTAGAAGGTGTGAAAAATCGTAGAACAGACAAGAGGAGCAGTAAAGACGTCTGCTCTCGCTTGCAACCCGGAAATTATTTATCATGTTATATTACAATTTTCAGCACTTGTCACTCCATCCGCCCCTCACATCCAGGTCTGTACTGCTGTGACCGAGCGGAGGCCCCCCACTGCCAGGCAGCTTGCCGGAGAATCCTTCGCACCATGAGCACAGAGCATGAGATCATGGAGGGTTTGATTGAGGAGTGTGGCTCCCAGCCCCTCCCTCAGGAACCCATGTGGCAGTGCTTTCTGGGCAGCGCCCACCCGCCTTCCCCACCTGAAGAGGAAACACCCCATCCTGCTAAGATGGACTCTGCCAAGCTGCATTGTTGCTCCAAGGCCAACACCTCATCCTGCAGGTACAGCACACTGCTGAGCATATGACATCCATTTCTTAATGTGGGCCGCTACATTAATGTCCCATATTCCCAGGTGGAATACAGATTGAGGTTAAATGTGTTAGTTTTCCTTGTTTTAACCCAGACAGTGTACTCTGCTGTGACAGGGACATGTGTTTGGAGATCAGTACTAACTGGGGCAGCCAGACGTGGCAAGACTTTGATCAGCTCTGTGAGTACAACCCAGTCGAGTCTGAGCTCATCAACTGCCTGGCTGATGTCAGAGAGCCCTGCCAGCTGGGCTGCAAGGACCTCACCTACTGCACCAACTTCAACAACAGGTCAAACTCCTGCAATTCACAAGGGTTAAGCTGGTGGGCGGTTATCATGATGGACTGCTTCCCTTCTCAGCACCATTTTATCTGCAGTCCACCAGTATTTCTAATTGAGTAGTCATCCTATCATTGCTGAAGATTTTCACATAACTGATAAGGAGCCTTTTGTGCAAAACAACTGAAGGAAAGAGGGTAATTTTCTGTACAGCTCCAAAATTATTAGAAAGATAACTTTAGAATTACTCCAGAGTACTCTGAAGATAAGTAAATTGGTCAAATTAAACTTATTTCAATGTCTTGGATTTGCACTTAGCCTTAATGCTTTCATAAAGTACTTTATATTGCATCTTTTTTAATGGGTTTTATTAGGAGAAGAGCAACCTCCTGTTACATCCTATTTTAGAGTAGTTTCCTTCTTCTAGCAAGGCTACTCCACAGATCAAATTTGTCTTCAGTTGGTTTCCCTAGTGCATAACATTCTAGATAGTGATTAAATAATGTAGCATGGGATCACTAAAAATACAACTACTAGCAGCCTTCTCCCAAAGTAAACAGCATCATGAGTGTATAAGAGCCAACAATAATACCTATGAAGTATTATAATGTGTTTATCAAATTACAAGTGGATTTCACCTTCACAAAGAAAACCATGTGACTAATTGTGGATTTAGATCATGAAGGCATGGCGCTCATGCTGTGGCACTGTGGTACTTAAAGTTCAAGCAAACAAATATGTGTAATGCTCTTTGGGTTTCCTTTGATGGGCCCCAGACAAGCCTTGTATGGTTTCCTCCTCCCCTGAGGGGTTCAAATGCTGGGCTGTGTAGCTGGACGCAGCATGGAATGCAAACACTGGCCTGGAGGTGGCGTTTGAGGGCATGGGGCTAATTGTTGGGACTGTGTGTATGCGGGTCTGTGTTACTGTGTGCGTTTAAAAACTATTCTTGGACCATAAATTGGAAACAAATCCCTAAATCCAATATTGCAGTCCTTGTTAATTAAAGTGTAAACACATTTTTAATTCGCTTTTATTTCTTGTAATGTTACCTCTGTCTGTCCTCAGGCCGACAGAGCTGTTTCGCAGCTGTAACATCCAGTCAGACCAGGGCGCCATGAACGACATCAAGCTGTGGTCCAATGGGACCATCAAGATGCCGTTCATGAACATCCCTGTGCTGGACATCAAGAAGTGTCTGCCTGACATGTGGAAGGCTGTAGCCTGTTCCCTGCAGATCAAACCCTGCCACAGCAAGTCCAGAGGGAGCGTCATTTGCAAGTAGGTCTCCTGCCGCTACTCCTACCCAGTCATTCTGAATTTTGCTAATGTCCATCATTACAAGAAGAACCATGTCAGCCATTCCAGTCTGCCTTTTACATCAAAATTTAGTGGACTTGCTGTAGTGTAATTACTCTTAATTGTGTGTCCTTTACATCACAGTTGTCTCAGCTTGCTTATATTTACAGTATCTAGATACATTTAGGTTCAGTTTAGCCTTTCCAGTCTGCACAGTATGAAGCAGTATGGTGATGTAGTAATGTGATGAGAACATGCTGTACATGCATGTACCTAGAGTACAGGCTTGTTCTGTTCTTGTTCTCTGTTATCTATTGTCTTTCCTCAGGTCAGACTGTGTGGACATCCTCACCCAGTGTGGGGACAGGAAACGGTTCCATGACGGACAAACACCAGAGAGGATCTGTGAACTGCTGTCACCCATCGATGATCCTGAACGCTGCATCCCCCTCCACAGATACCTCAGTGAGTCTGCTAAAAAGCTGCATAGTGGTGATTTGATTCAATGGTACTGTAATATGAAAATATATTGATCAGGTCAACTTGAATTCTCTTTGTCATTCTGCTGTTTATTACTGTAGAAGCATTACATTAGTACTTTGGGGCTGTTTTTAGTTTGATTGGACTTTTATTTTGAAACTCACCTAATTCACTGAGCACACATATTCACATTGTCACCAACAGATACATACATATCTAAAAGTCATGTTTAATTCTGTTCTACCTTTCTTTACCCCAGCTCCCAGTTCCCTAGGTAATAACATAATTGAGGAGGTCATCCATCCATGCAACCCCAACCCATGCCCCAGCAACCATTTATGCCAGGTCAACAGGAAGGGCTGCCTTGATGAACTCAGCTGTCAGCCATACCTGTGTGTACCAGGTAGGACCAAAATGCTACAGATCAGCTTTACTATGTTCAGAGTTGTAGCATGTCAGCCTGAGTGTGTGTGTGTGTGCTTTCAGGCTGTAAACTGGGCGAGGCCTCCGAGTTTCTGGTGCAGCAGGACGCACGTATCCAGGTGCCAACTCGTACTGGTCCACCTGGGTGCTACGAGGTGTGCAGCTGTGGTCCCAGTGGGCGTCTGGAGAACTGTGTGGAGATGATGCCCTGTGTGGACACCAGCAAGCCCTGCATCATAGGTGGACAGAGGAGGAGTAAGACCTGTCTCATGTCTTTCTGTCTTTCCAAAAGGTTCCTACAGATCCCTGAAACACAAAAATGTTGTAGATGCTGCAGTATATGTCTATTACATTGTACAGGTTAACACTGCATTAATACTATGGTGATACGTTCTCCTGTCATTAACTAAACCTCCTGGTCATATGAGATTGGGATGGCAGTACTAACGGTTGGACCACTGAGCTGACTAAGCCATCTACCCAGTCATTCTTATTGCCAGACTTAGGGCTCTATTTTTCTGCCACCACAAATTCTGCATTGCTTCAGTCACAGTCCTTATGCAGTTTTCCTCAGGTGCATGTCTACTTCTTTTGTGCATTGCTGTACTTGGTATTTTCCTACGAAATCTATGTTAAATACGTACACATAGGTGCACAAAATAACACATGAAAGCAGTTCATGAGTCAAGATACTGTAAATAACAAATATGTTTTAGGCGGCAGGTAAAGTCTGTCTGACCTGAATAGGTTTCACACAGACTTACCTTCGTTACTATCGCAGGGATATATGTTGTCTGTTTTTTTGCATTTTTATAAAGGTTTGATCTGCTTTGAAAGCTGCTGTAGTGGTCAACACACCTACTGGCTGTGCGCTCTGGTGGCGTAATCATGACCATAGACACAGTGATTACAGTATGAGTTTATTGTATTATTTTAAAAATCCTCCGTTTGTACTTTTAAAGTACAAAAGTAAACAGTGAGGGAGGTATTATGTATTGTTGTTTGCCACAAACATTGTTTTTTGATACTGACACTGGGGGGCACCAAAGTAAAAACCATTGACAAACATTTAAACAGTATAATCAGTAGGCATTCACATAGACATTCCATGAGGTTGATTCTCTTTCTCCATTGCTCAAGGTCCATTGCTCTTCTAGCTTTGTTTATTCATTTATTAAGCAGTGGGTGTTCTTCTCTTACTGAAAACAAATATTTGGTTTGAATTGGACACACTGTAATACATGTTGTGATGAGCATGGTTTTGATTTTAGCACAGCAAAGATTATTCTAACTTGTTTATCCTCCTCCACATCATCATCAGCCCCCACAAAAACACAGTGAAAGTTGGGAATGAAACCTCTCGTTGGAAGAAGTGCTGCTTGGTGCACCAGATGTGAGCTTTGCAGCCAGGGACCTTTTTTAAATTGTTCAGTCTACTTTTAGCTGTCCATTAAAGCATAAGCATAAAAAGTCCTCTGTTTTGAAGGTCAGTCATAATAACTATCATTGACACAGGTGGCCGTAGCTGCATTTTTTTATCATCCCTTTTTTTCTCTCACTGTCCAGCACATTTTAAAGCATAAATCCACCTGGAGCTTAAACTGTAAAAAATATTAGGGACCTAAACTGTAAAGAATTTGAAACATGGGTGCAAAGTTAATAATGGGACTTAAGCTACATAATATAACATAACATATAACAGAATATAATACGTACATTATGAGCATGTACATAAGCTTGAAAACAAATTCAAAGATACTAAGTACTACATGCATCAACAGAAATGGTGACTAAAATGTACTGAGTCAAAAATATGGATGAAAAGCCCAGAAAATGCACTAACATTTTGTTTTGCTACCAGGCCACGGGACGTCTTTCAGGGTCGACTGCCACACCTGTTCCTGCTTTGCTGGTGATACCATCTGCTCCACCAGAGAATGTCTCAGCCTCATCAGCTCAGAAGACGACCGCCGACACTTCACAGGTTCGGCCGTGTAATGGTCTGGTTATGTTTCTTTCATTCAGTTTGACGTTTTGTTAGATGGGATGGGGATTTTTCTTTTTCTCTAATTAGTAATAAAGTATCTTTGTTTGTTGTGTTAATTCTGAGAGATGTAAATGTAGATACTAATTTATTTAGTCAGTATTTGTTGAGAAGTTACTGAAAACAGTACTACTGTTCTCATTTACATGTGTCCGTGCCATTTGTGTATTCACTGACAGAATAGATTGACTCTGTGTGAACAGAATCACTGCCTGTCATTCCTACACACCGAGCGTTACTACAGCAACCTGTTGTCTCTACTGCAGAGCAGCGAGTTTTTCAGAACCTGCATTCACTAAAATAGTGCTCACTGGCTGAGCTCTGCTTCAGAAAAGACACTAAAATGTCACATACTGTAAAAGTATTTCTTAAGCATCCAGAAGAAGATTTAGACAGCGGAATGACAACATTATTCCTGGAATTTAGTCCATATGGTTTGAAAACAACAAGATGAAAAGTAAGGGTCAGGTTAACAGTAATGTTACATCCACAGCACTCGATGTTATATCAGCTTATCTTCTTATAAGCTATTTTGTTTCTGCTTCTTGTCTAATTCTCAGTGGATTGTGTCTGTTTCTTCTAATAACAGATAACATAAAGGATTGAGACAGTGTTACTGTATGCAAGATGTTTCTTATTAAAAACAGTGCAACCGGTCAAGTGGCTAAATCAACTTCTGAACCAACATATTTTAGGCAGCGCATAAAACAGTGTGTGATTCCACAGACACTTCCACTGAATAAGCCTCTAAATTAAATCGGTAATTACATGCAGATAATCTTTCCATCAGTCTGTCTTTAACATGGCGCGGTGGTTAGAAAGAAATGGAAAAGGAGCCTAAAAGGGCCTTGTAGACTAATATAGACTAAATAAATAATATGCTGTGCTGCACTGTACATTAGTGCAATTTGGGTAGAGAATCTAAAAATAACTACAGCGCAGTAGGTTCGGATATTCAATGAAGAGTGTGTATATTGTCAGAGGAGATTCCTCTCTTGACTCTGACTGGGCAACCCTTGTTTTTCTCAATACAACTACCACCAATGTGCACAACAGTAAGTCTGTTTAAATTACTGGGCCTGGAATCAGGCTATGCTACACCAGAAGCGCTGATTTTATTGTGCTGAATTTGTAATTTCATTGATTTTATTATTTCATTATTCATTAATTTCATCATTTTACTATTTAAAAGAGGGCAGAATAGAGCTAATTATACTTAACTTTAGTAATGTAAGTGACATTGCTAAATATAGGGCCAACGGATTAAGAAGCACAAGCTGCCAGATGATTAGTTTTTAAGTAAAGCCCCCTCCCCAGCAAACCCACCACATCAGATCTAAACACAATCTGGTGAGTACAATGTTAGAACAGCCCAATGGCCAGAAGTTCACAGGCACCCATCAGGGCTTACACTGCACCCCGGTTTTGCTGAATGTTCATTTCTTCACAGTGGAATGAATACTTTACTCCTCCCTGTCTCAGGTCTCCCCTGTAGTTGTCCAGACCACTTCATCCCAGTGTGTGCCTCTAATGGGCGCACATATCCCAGTGCCTGTGTGGCTCGCTGTATGGGATTCAAGGACCATCAGTTTGTGTTTGGCCAGTGCCGCCTCAGTAACCCCTGTGCCAACAAGTCCTGTCAGAGAAACCAAAGGTGCGTTCCCTTCCTTTCTGCTTTCATCTCTCTTTTTCTGCAACTATGACTGTCAATCATGTTGCTGTTTCTGGAGTCTTTAACCTTACAACCCAAATGCATAAACCCAAGCAAGCGATGTTAGTGGAGTGAGAAAAGGGTTTTAATGGAGAAATTGCTGGAGTACATAAGAGTTTTATTCATTCTTCCACCAAGGAATGAGATCTGACAGATATTAAATACATTTTTTATTTTTTATTATTTATTAATACTTACTACACATATACACACATGCACTCAGGTCAGTATACCACCTTCCCTCCATCCCCTTTTTGACATTTGTTATCCTAAAACATAAACTTAAATGCTCGTATTAAACACTCTTGGCCCTTTGTTCAAAGACTGAATACATACACACAAATGAGTGATGTTATACACAGATGCACACAAACACACCCACTCTCAACCATCTCCCTTTGTTCTGAGAAAAACAATGCAGTAGAACTGAACAAGTCAACTCAGATTTGTTTAACACCTGATGCCCAGCCTTGTGTGCGCATGTGTTGATGGTGGTGAATGTGGAAAGGGCACATACTAGCTTATATGTTGTCTGAACCTCTCACCAGGCCTCCTCACATAAGGGAAGAGTAATTAATAAAGCCATATTGTGTTTGTATTCTTAGGTGCGTCCCAAAGTATTCTGTGTGTCTGAGTGACTCTGCCGACTGCCAGCAGTACGAGTGCGTCGGCCGACCAGCAGCTTGTGATAAGAACAGTGTGGAGCCAGCCTGTGATAATGATGGCCTGGTCCACCCCAGTCTGTGCCAGCTGCAGCAGGCTGGGAAAACCCTGGCTTACATGGGCCATTGCCAAGTAGGTAACACTGGAGCTCAGGGACTCCTGGCAGTTGCTGTACAGTGGTGACCATGCTGTTGCTGCCACTTTTTTAAATGCACATGCGGTACAGATCTGTGGGCAAAGCCATGTACACCTTCACTGTTGTTAAAGCTAAAAAAAATGGTGCGACCGCATTCCAAAAAGGGAAGTTGTAAATCAGATCAGCAGGTTTATTCTCGTGTCGTCGAGAGGAGAGGGATTGTTTTTGTTTTGTCAGTGGGGCTTCTGTTGGTCTAAAGCATGGTATTTTACAACTACACACTGGATTTTAGTCAGCAGAAATGTAGTTGCCTGAAAATGCATCGTCACCTTGAATATTTCACTAGAAAGTTGTCATAAACAGATTTCAATTAAGAATTAGTCAAAGCTGAAGCAACAGAGCTGATATTCAGACCTTTATTCTCTAGTAGTGCACTAACATACAGCCTTTTGTGATACAGCTCAGTAGTGCCTTTCCTTAAACCCCCCGGTGGGTAGATTCAAAGCCCATTCCCATAGTGTTTAATGCAGACTTTCTGTTATAAAATTGTCTAATCTTGAGATTGGAACCCCTAACATCACTGTTACATCGATGACATGACAGTTATTTTCTCAAACTAGACAAAGCTCTTTCAGTGTCACGGAGGACATTCTACAACTGAGATTAGAAGTTCGTTTTTGACCTTGGGCTCAGTATGTGTGGCAAGCAAGGCTTTCAGTTACGTAGCTTACAACCACAGTCTCAACCAAGTCTCATATATGATAATTCCTTGCTCCTTATTTAACCATTACAACTTCAGGGTCCCCTCCACGCCCCTGACACCTGGAGGGGCGTGATTGGGAGGAATGGCCCCCCGATCTGAACCCAAGTGGTGTTTTGTTATTGG